CCATGGTTCGAGTCCTGTACCCAGTGGCTTGAAACTCATGCCGGCGTGGGTGCATATGTGCCCAAGATCCCAGGAGGAGAATGGAGGTGGTATGGACATGGTATGGACATCCTCGTTCCCCCTCCAGGGGGGTGATTTCTCACTTTCCCTCACACTGTCTCTGTCCCTCTCTCTCCAGTGAGCACACATGCCCCAAGGCAAAAATCTCTTTAAAAAAAAAAAAAAGCTATCAATGAATGCAGAGGATAACCATAGGTGACCTGTGAAATGAGGACATTTCTGCATGGCATTTTAATCCCTTTAACAATACGTCACAGAGATAACACTTCTCACACTTCCTACTAGGTCCATGCGCATGTCCAAGACTACTGAACTGGGTTTAGTGAGAAAGCAATGTCACCTACCAGACTTTTTGTACGGCCTTCCTCAGGGACACCACTACAAGAGAAAATGAAACTTGCTCTCCTTCAGAATGGGAGATGCTTTGTTTTAAGGCTCTGCATCTGGGGGAGGTGTCTGCACATCCCCGTAACCCAGGACAGCGCTTCTTCCCTCGAGTCACCTGCTCGATAATGATTTGTGAGCACAAACCCTGGGGCAGGCTTGTGGCTGCAACAGTGCACAGAGCATGATCTTATGCTGGGGAACTTACTGTCTAAAATGAGGAAAAGATGAGCAACAAATCTCGTGGTGCAGGAGAGCAAGGAGCCATGCCCCGGTGGATCTGGCAAGAAAGCAATGTCTTCTGGCAGGAAAGAACATGAGAGCTGAGATCTGAGTGGTCAGATGGCATGGCCAGGAGGAGGGGTACAGGGAAAGTCAAATACAGAGAGGGGACATCACCTGGGGACTGCAGGCAGCTCAGGGGTCCTGGGCAGAGAGCTCCAGTGGGCACAGGCAGGGGAGGAGGGGCCGGCCGTGACTGGCTACTGTGCAGGTCTGAGTTCCGGCCCCAGATGGCAGCTACCGAGGGCAGACTGCTCTTGTTCTGCGATGAAGGATGGGCTGTAGGGGCCGATCAAGCCGATCTGAGGGCTGCTGAGTTGATGTGTTCCAGTGGCAGCGGGGATTGGCCAGGAGAGACGAGGGGAAAGATTGGGGATGCAGAACTGCGGCTGGCCTGGCCACGGCCCTGAAGAGGAGAGGGATGACAGACCCTGGGGCCCAGTGAGGACTGGCTGAGGGGGTAACAGAGGCACGTTTCCTCTGAGATGGAAGGAGAGGCCAGCATAGGTGAGAGGCCAAGGCACGGGGCATGCAGGTGGAAAGTGGGGTGTTCAGGGTGTTTCCCAAATGGCGCGTTTCACTTTTTATCCAGCCACCCTGACTCTGCCTTCATATCCTTTTCTTTCAGTATAATGCCTGCACTGTGACCCCCAGCCCTCCCCTCCTCTATAGCTCTCCTGATCCCTTGTATCCTATGGGCCATGCCACATGACCAGGATGCCCTAAACTGCCTGCTCTCACAGTCCTGGCCCTGTGCCCACTTGGGCTGGATGTCCTGCCCACTCTAGTCTGCCTGCCATCTCCTCCTCCAGGAAGCCCTCCCTGACCCAGACAGGCTAGGGGAGCTACCCTCCTTGATGCTCCTGGGCGTGCCTCCCACCAGCACCTGCCACAGCATATTATAACTGTGGGCTTGACTCTCTACTGCACACCTATGAGCATCTCGTACCTGTGCCGGTCTCGTTTGGCAGCATGCTAGTGCCCACCACAGAGCAGCCCTTGGATACACGGTTGTTGGGTGAATGAATGAACAAACAAATGAACAATGCAGACCAATGAGCCAGGAGCCATCAGTTCTTCCTGGGCCCCTGAACTGCACAGCCACCTCAGGGTCGCATCCAAGCTGGGAAGGCAAGCCAAGCTCACAGGCCCCCACCCAGCTCTGTCATACAGGCCAGACCACTGGGGTCTCACTTCTCCCATTTCAGAGTTCTGCAAAGATTGGGCTGACACAGTGGTTTTCTGGGTGGGGCCCGAGAATTTTCATTTCTAACAAGTGATGCTGACCACTCTTTGAGACTCGCTGGGCATGAGGAAAGGAAAAGTGGACATCTCCAGGGTTCAGGGACTTCCGGGCTGGCCCAGGTGCATTCAGAGACTGGAAGAAGTCTCTGGCAGGGTAGAAGTTTCAGGGCTGTTTTGTACATGTATGAAAATGCCACTGACCAAGTGTTATGAAATTACCTACAGGCACCCGAGAGTCCCCAAATAAAAAACATAGATTCCTAGATACAGGCTTATTTGAGAAGTAATGGAAAATAATAATATTGGTACAAAGAATCAGGAAAAAAAGGCAACTAATACAGAATGATTTTGATAATCAAAATCCACTACAGAGTAATGGGGTCATTTTGTTATGTGAGATATGGCCACAGACATATGGATTCTTTTTTCTTTTTTTAAAATTAAAGACAGAGAGACAGAAAGCAAGAAATCGCCCCTCAGAGGGGATGGCCATGCCACAATCTCTTCTCCTCCATTCTCCTCTCAGGATCTCGGGCACACACGCACACGCACTCGGTGTGCGTTTAAGCCACTGGGTCTGGGACTCGAACCGTAGTCGACTACATGAGAGTCTAGCGACATAGCCATTACACCAACTTCTGGTCCCCAGAAATATGGATCTTTAGCCTGGCTTCCATGGGATAAGGAAGGTTTAGAATTGGAGGAACCTGGACCCCCCCCTTCTCCTTGCCCCCATCTCAGCAGCAGACAGAGCTCTTCGGCCCTGGTACTCTTTCCTAGTGAGCTCAGGTAAACGTAACTGAGTTATTCTTTGACTCTGTACCACAAGATAATGCTCCCCCTGAGTCTCTGCAGAAATGTTCTAATGATTTTAAGTATTAAGATCATTTTAAGTAGTAACGGGTATATGGCAGCCTGGAAGACTTACCCCAATCTCTCTTAAATCTTTGTCTTGTAGTAACTGAAGTGGATCAATAAAAGTTTGCTTTACATTAATATCCAGAGAGTCTTTCACCTCAGCCATTAGCTTCATGGATTCGCCAACTTCTATCAGTGCATTGCCTTGAATAGAAAAGACAAACAAAAAGGGTCTTCAAGAACTCTAAGTTGACAGTGAAATGCACTTCATTCTTTCCCAAAAGTTTGGGGCCGACGGTGTAATAAGGTCCTTGCGATCTGGGGCTTTTGAATTCTGACTGAAAAAGATCAAAAATAAAGAGAAAGTCTTCCCATTTTCTATGTGTTCCTCTTCGCGTGCCATACTTCCACCACTGTATGAAATAAAACTGGCGTAGGCAAGCTGAAGCACGTACCATTCTGGCCACTAGATGGGGATAAACCTCTGCTTTTCAAATCTGGTACTTTCAGAAACTGGCACCAAGATTCCTGAGACGCGGGAGAACAAAATCTCTTTGTAAACAATGAAAGGATTCATTCCCAGGGGCTAAGTGTTAACCAATAAAGATTACAATAGAAATAAAGAACAAAACCCCGCTTGGTTCTAGTCCTTAGATCCTGAAGTCCTTCCCCACTTTCTTTAGCTAGTTCTGAGGCCCCCTTCCCTCCCTCATGTCAAAGAAAGCCTGCTGGTGTCACGGAGGATGGCGTGTCACCATCAGGAGACATCACGTGAGCGGTGTGGGGTGAGTGTGCTCTCATGATGAGGCCTGGGCCAGCTTTCGGAGGCTTGGGTAGTAACTGGCAGTTTTTGATAGGAGATGCCCTGCTAATTTGCAGGCATTTGCAGGATCCCTGCTAACCAGGCCTTCTGATCGCTGTGCAGTGAGGCCTGCAGGTTCTCTGGAAGACATTCCTGGGAAATCTGCCCTAGACCGAGCCACGTTTCTGTATTTGGAGGTTTCCAAACTGGTCATGTGAAAGGACATTGGGGTCTCTCCATTCCTGAGCTTGAAGACGTGAAAACCACACCTGACTTTCACGTGGTTTCACCTACTAGTCGAGGGCATGGCCAATTGATTCTGCTGTACAACAGGGGTAGCAACATCTGCCTCCCCTCACTTTTTAACCAAAGTACACTAGACAGGACCTCACAAGGTAGAAGTGGAAACCTCGTGAAGGGAAACCGCAAAACACTGGATTGTCTGAAAAGTCATGACTTTTTTTCTTTGTTTTCCTATGGCTTTTACAACAATCCAATAGAAGTAGAAACCGTTACTCTAAATTAAAGCTGGCAAAAACTCCATGTTGACCCGTTGGTAGCTTTGCTCTTCCTTGGAGGCTCAATCTCCCCAACTCTGCTCTCCAGGATCCAGTGCTGACTCATGTCTGGGGACTCTCCCTTGAAACTGGTCAGAAACAGAGGGCAGTGCTTCTGCCTCTTCCTCTGCCTGGCCCCCAGTGTCCAGGCCTCACAATGCTGGTTAGTTTATCTTGGACAGAAGCACTTTAGAATGTTTCTTTCAAGACTCCAAAGATTACATTCTCAACGTTGGTTGTCACCTCCCTGGAGTCAACATTCCCTTTCCGGGCCCAAGATTAGTGCTGTGGAATTCTGGGAGAACCTGGAGCTCGGGCTCCACCAGCTATGGTTTCTACACTTTAGAAGGTTCTAGCATGTGGCCCCGAGGAGAAAGCATCCGATGGGACAGCTCTTCTTCAAACAGTAACTGTCCACCTGGTTCCGGATGCCCTGCTGACACCAGTCCTCCTCCTTAGCCCAAGTCTTTGAAGTTCTTGGGCACTTAGACAGCTACCAGACTGCCTGGTGTCAAAGCCCTTGTCACCATGGCCAGGTGCAAAGCAGGGACGACTTTAGATCTCAAGGTCTGCCCGGCAGCCATACCTGTACCCTCAACTGATGTGCCTTTGGGGTAAGGAGTAGGCCATCTCGTCCCATTTACCCTGAATGAGATTAAATTCACGTCCTATTGCTCCAGGATATGGTTACCCTCTGTCACTAATTAATTTGTGTTAATATCCTAACACTTGAGTTTCTTTCTCCCCAGGGTTGGGGGGATGGCCACACTGCATGCCTTTCTCCTCCATTCCCTTCTCAGGATTTGGGGCACTCACATGCGCCCAGTGTGAGTTTGCAGCCACGGGGCCTGGAACTCGAACCGTGGTCAACCATATGGGAGTCCAGTGACATAACCATTATGCCATCTGGTAAACCTCCAGCAATGAACATGCATTACTTTGGTAATATGACGAAATAGCAAAGACGTTAAGCTGAAGGTTTTGTGCATACCCTAAAACCGGTCAGAGGTGCTCTCAGCTCTGCTCAGTGACCTGCGAGCACTCACCGAAGGCAGAGTCTTCCCCGAGCTCCTTCCCGTACTTCAGCATACAGTCTCCCAGCAAGCCCTCCGTCTGTGGGTAGCCAGTGGTCTTCACCTGCCCTCGGATCTTCGACACAGTGTTCAGCATTCCCAGCTTAGCTCTGTATGCTTAAAAACATTGTCATTTGTAATTCCTTCAAGTTACAAGGTGGAGTGACAGGTACATGGCATGTAACACATGCAGCTGCCAAGATCAAGGCCACCTTCAACAAAAATGCCTTCTGTTTCGAGACCTGAAGTGACCATGTGTGACCTACTTGATTTGCTCGCGTGACTTTCCGGATTCTTTACCAAGGTGAATGCTCAGTGCACAGCTGCACAGCCATGATGGAACACGGAAGTTAGGGCTGCGCTGTTGACTCTAGTGACAACCATTCCCGGCAGCACCCACAAGATAGACCCTTTGCTATGCTCGAAACTGCTAACGTGTGAGGGCAGACACTGACACCTGTTCAGACGTGTTTTCCTGGGGACTTCATGTAAACATGTAAATGAAAGACAGAGTCGCTAAGGTGGATGTTTCATATTACCAAGGGGTCATTAACATGCACACACACGCACACACAACACGCACACTGCTCCCAGAAACTGATGGAGACTAAGGACAATCACTACCACGAGGGAGGCCTGCTGCACAGTTAGGAGGCCAAGGAACAAGCAGAGACAGACTCTGGCCACAGGGCACACTAGCCCGCGTTTGTGGCCCCAGGTGCAGCTCAGCTCTGTCCTGGGAGGAGAAGGGCGGTCACTGCCTCTGATCTTCTGTTCCTTTCTCTGACCCAAGTGGTGAGTGTTGACTAAGCCTAGGCCCTGCACAAGGCATTGTTCTTATCACTGTGACTCCAGGGAGACCTCAGACAGCTTCTGCCCTGGGGCACTCACAGTCTAGTTCTTAGGAAGCAGCTCACACACACGAAGTAATAAGGAAAATAAAGTTGGAATGGTTCAGGGCAAGGAAAGGGCAGCAAACAATACGCTAGAAAAGATGGAAAGATATTCCTCAACAGTGCAGGAATCATGTCAGTACAATGTGGAAGAGGGAATGGGTATGGTCTAGTCCCTGGACGAACACTAACAAACACTAGGCTTATTTGACCTAAGATGAAATGAATACAGGGCAAAATGGGTGGTTATCAATGGAAAATGTGACTATGAATTAAATACCAAGCTAAGAATGTGGGATTTTCCTCTGGGCCAGAGTGAATCACATACTAGCTTGGGGTATTGGAGCTAATTTTAGGTAGTCAAGGGTTATACTTATTTTCTTCTACTTAAATAATTACATATTTATTTTTAAACATATTCTAGACCCATACCTCTCAAACTTTCATGTGTATGCAAGTACCATAAAGATCGTGTTAAAATGTGGAGTCTGATTCAGTCGGTCTGGGGGGGACCATCATTCCGTATTTCGGCAGTCTCTCAGGGGGTGCTGATCTTACTGGTCTACAGGCCACACTTTTGAGCCCTGGAGGCTTAGATGCTCCTGGGGCCAGGCTTTTCAGCCATGCCAGCCTCAGCCTCAAAGCATCCTCTGGGTCTCAAGGCCCAAAGGCTTTGCTCTCCAAACACCCACACAGACACACACACACACACACACACACTCCACTCCTCTTTCCTACTGTCAGGATGGGAGGGCGTAGGACCGAGTGAGCAACTGGAAATGGCG